AAAATGATGTATATCCCGTGCTTATATGCTAATAGTTTTTTAACCAATAGTGATACACTTCTAATAGAACTCTTTCAAATCAACTGATATCCCATAAAAAAATAAAGATTTTTTAGGTTATCAGAATCAAATCAATTTAGATTTCCTGTCATTTTTTCTTCTCTAACAAGGTCTGTTAGGTTTTTAGCTTTGTGTTAATAATTATTTAATTAATTTTGAAAATATAATCGAATTAATTTAATGTGAAACCTTGATTAGATTGCCAAATATCGAAAAAAATATATTTTCAAAATCTTATTCTGACTATATTTTTTTATAAAATCGACTATATCGGTAGATGACACATACATAATCACTATATAAACATCACCAACATTTAACAAATAATCGGTAGCAAATAATACACCCACAAAACAAACTTTTGAATCAACTTTTTCATCACCATTCAAAATGACTTTGATTTTCGGAAAGTCAGGGATATTAAAAGAACTTTTAGGACAATTATCAAGCTACAGATCATTAGAATATTCCAACAAGTTGAAGACAAGCGCAATTACCAAAACTTTCTTGAGATTATCTTTTAAGATTCTGAGGTAATTTGTTCTTACATTATTATTATTTGTATGCATTTTTTATGCTACAACTTTTATTATTTTTGTATTAAATTAATAAATATGTAATGTTTTATGGAGGACAAATTACTGGCATAATCGACCCGTCAATATTCCACAATTCATCGGCGACACTGAAGAAGGTCGATTATATCTTAAAAAACTACCATGTGGAAAACAATATTGGCGTCTATAAATCGACGATTAGAGGATCATTATTAATGTTCAAATAAGGGTTCACAAGTGGAGGGCGATTTTCCTATGAATCGTTTCGACTTTAAGAATCTTACAACTTTAATGGATGTTGATCATAATGTTGATGATGCCATATTGTTTGGTACGTTCTAATTTTTTGTTTATTTCTTATTTCAAAATTTTAGATATTTAAAAAAACCAATAATAAAGTCTATTATGACATTTTAATATGATGAATTGTCTTATAGTTTTGTAGATGTTATTTCATTGATTTTTTCCATACAACCTATTCAAATGAAGACTGTCAAGGGAGTTCTTACCCAAATGCTCATCTTCTCTATTATGGATTTAAAGTAAGAATCCCTAGAATTATA